TCTCTGGCCTGGTCGATAGAATTAATTCAATGTTTTCCTAAACTTCGCAGGCTACCTTTAACCGTTACGCCATAGAATACTCACTCTTTTTTTTATAATAAATAATAGATAGTAGATAAAACACTCCAGTCATATAACATCTAAACAAGATGCGCTGTCTACATTTTGGCTTTGGATATCCGGAAATCCACAGACTAAAACCGAAACGACATTAAACTTGACGACTTTGTGACCCGGAAGGATTTTCAATATGCTCTTACCCTTTGAATATCTAGATTTACGCACGAAGTCAAACGTTATTTAGAAAAATATAAATTGATTTAAAATATCTGCACCCGATGGGAATAGAATCCACGACTCTTCCAATATTAGCATTGTTACCATTACCCCAACGTGCCCGTCAAACTCTACAAGTCCACGTTAAATTAGAATGCCCTTTACAAAGTAAGCTTCGATTCAAACAACTAGCTATCGACGTTGCTTAATATAAACTGGTCAGATTTCCATTTAAATATCTACCGACATTTCAAGCACTATTTAACTTATCTCCTATGCGGGGTTTATCAGAAGTGCACAACTACCTTATTAACATAAGCTGGGTAGATGGTACTTGAGGTAGATAGCGCTCAGATTCAAAACACAAATCTTTCCACCTTATTCAAATTCATTTATTTGTATCCGACAGGAACTTGGAGGGAATAAATAAAGCCTTCAACTTAAAAAAAGAACAAGCCCAGCTAAGCTCTTACACAAAAGTGAAAGAGAGGAGACGACGATTCGGTTAAGAAGGAGCGGGATGGTAAATTTTGACCACGTGACACCTGCCGACCGCCAAATGAAGATATCGCAGCTGGATGCGGGGATCAGAAACAGATGTGTTCAACCTTAAAAAATAAAATATTAGATACGCGTACGAGTTCCCCGTAAGGATGTAACGCGAAAAAATAAAAGACTTAGGTAACTTTTGCTCGTTTAACGCGTCAAGTGCTTATTAATTATATCAGAAAATAAATAGATTTTTATTTCTTGTTTTTTTTTAATGCAAAATGGTACTTTTATTCTAAAAGGTACTTCTTGATACTTTATGTGGACAATACAAATATTATGTAGATGTTTAAAAACAGAAGCAAAACAAACATGAAAAACAGAAGCTGTCAGAATGTACAGGTGGATTTTAAAAATAATCAAATCATTCGTAAATGCGATTAAGCACCCTACTGGCTATAGATAAGGCATATTTTTGTTCAAATAACCTTAAAATTGCTAACTTAATATCAGTGTCCGCGTTCAGATGTTCGGTTTACTTAGTTCACAGCAAATATTGATAAAGTGCATTACAATCAAACATCGCTGTAGTCTTAGTAATGTGACAGAGATAATCTTGAAAAATGAAGACGTAATCTTGAGAACGCAGTTAATATTTGTTCTAGTAAACTTTATTTTTTTTAGTCTTTTTTTTAAATTGGGAATGGGAATACGGGTGGAAATATGGGAAATTGGGTGTCTATTTCACTGATAGATTTTATTTAGAGGTAAATGGATCAGACAGTGCTCTGCTCGCTTATTAGTAGAGATGCGTCGAGTAACACTTTTGCTGATAGGTAACGAGTACCGAATTTTACCTTTTTTTAAACCAGTTCTCGGAGAAGTCGGTTCAATCAAATTCCCATTTTGCGAGAGCGTAAATAAGTAAAAACAGGTTCGCGCCAGACAAGACATCGGCTCGCTTTGACCCCTCACCCCGCCCACCGCTCTAACTGCCACTTACTTGACGGCGTGCAAACGCGTTTATTAATTAAAATCTCTAAATTACTACTAAATACTTTTGAATTAACACTGTTGTTTTAATTATATCTACCTATATTGATTTTCTTAAACAAAGTTTACTCGTTATCAAATAACAAAGATAACCGAGTTTTTCGGCCGAGGTATCAACCGAGTACTCGGCCCATCTCTATTTACGTTTCAACTAGATTCAAATTCATGACTTCTAATGCTCAATACAATATACGGGTTAGGTCTGGTTATATATAATAATCATTTAAAATAACTCGCATAGGTTGTTAATTATATAAAATAATTTACGACCAGATAGTAATTAATCTAAAAATGTTCTATTACAGTATAGTATCCAAGCTTGGCTGAGCATTTATAGTCTTGTGTGTTAAGGTATGTTTACCAGAACATATTCTGGGTAATGTATATTTTTTCTCAAACATGTTGGATTTTGTCTGGTAAACCCAAATATTAAATGGGTGGTAGAAAAATCGAAATCCCATCCGGACTTCGAACCACCGTCTCAGGATGAAAAAGCCGAATCGCGTTTCGGTTTCAGTCTGTCTATATCCGAATAACACGACGAACAGGTCGCCAGAACATCTTTGTTAGATATTCGTAGATGGTGAATTTTATCTTCTATCAAAATAACCTCTGTCTGTCCTCAACTGTCATTAAAAGATACTATAAAAAATACCAGTTACCTTCACAGCAATAAATATAGATATAGGCCCAACGTTGGGATGACAAGAGGAAATAAGAAACGTGAGAATAATATAATTTAGATGCCGCACCTCGCCTTCGATAATTGAGACGTCAATTTTTTCAACTCGCCCCGCTCGGCTCGGACCAGCTTTTCGAATATTTATAATGCTAGTGGAGTCGTAATTTTAGTTCACTTCTCGTTATCTCAGTTTTTTATCTCTGTTTCTTTTCGTGCCGATGAATGTGTATACGTTTATTTTCTATCTACAAAAAGTTATTTTGAATCCGAACATAGATAGTGATTAATTGGACTAACGTGTTCTTAGATTGTTCCTTTGTCTTTAAGCGATGGACGTTTTTAAATCAAAGTATTCGTACTGTCTTGAATCGGGATTTGAAATTAAGAGATATTATTTTCTTATATCCTTAAGTATTATTGACAAATAAATTTTTAATTAGTTGGCTTCCATGAAGTAAAAGCTATGCTTGTCTGTCCTCATCTGTTATAAAATTACTCCTTGAATTACTTTACCTAAGTTAAAGTTACTGTATAAAACGGTTTCTAAATACAAGTTACATGCGAGGATCGTTACATCCTATTATTATATTAACTCGTGTTAATTGTAGTGATAAATTTGTTCATGCCAAAAATAGGATACGTAGATACCAGAGGAAAATCTAGTTACCTATATTGACAATTTAATATTTTAATGCTGGGTCTTTTCATAAAGAAGAATGCCCATTTTATTCATTTTATCAATAGTTAAGTGTGTGAAATAATCCTTTTCTCATCTCTCTTTAGCAGCCGTGCATAAAAGCTGAATAGTTGACATTTATTACAAGAAAAAACATACTTTAGAGGCATTATACCTTTGCGTACTAAAGATTGAGCACAATTGAGATGTCAATCAGAATTACCTTACTCAAGCATTGTCCGCGTTTCTTTTTGTAATTGCATGCGACGAGCTATTGTTATAATTTGCACAGAGAGTCTTTACAAACGATCCATAAAATCGTAGCTACCTATGTATTGATTTCTATTAAAACGAACAATCAGTATAAGCTCTAATAAATACTGTCTATAGTTTACGCGAGTAGTACACATTTAGTGACATCGTGGTCCGTCTCCACGTGACCACCATTTTAAACCGTTAGTGTTTTATGTAAATAAGCTCTAATAATTATGATTTAGGGCACACGTAGGCTCAAATCTTACTATAATACTACAAGACATATATAGAGTATACAGTATTTTTTATTAAATTAACCTTGATCCGTTGATTTTTTTCAAAAGTCACTTATAGGTCCTTTTTAATATTACGTAAGAATTCAGATTTTTTGAGCATCACCATAGAATACGACTATAGTAAAATGAGAGAATCATTTTCATATTTTTAGAAATTAATCTCAATTACTGTTATTGGATGTAATCGCATAGGATTTGTAAGATTTATATATTTGTTGTGTTTCCAAATACCCACAGTAACAAACATTCACATCTCAGTTTAAATCTTTGCTATACAAGTAGCGGGGTTTCAATTTCCATTTCGTAAAAATATAAAAAAAAAAACGATACAATAATAAAAAAACAATGGTATTCCACTACAAAAACTTTTAATAACGCCATCTATGAAACATTTATCTGATCATTTCCCATCATCTGTAATTAAATGTAACTGTAACTGTTAACTATAGTTTTATTTTATTTGTGTTCATCAGTTTTTGACAATGATAAAAAAAAAAAAAATTTTAACGTTTGTTATTTACATTAAAACAATGCTTCAGCAGTTTTTTTTTATATTAGTGAAACATCACAGATTATGTTAGCTTGCTGTGTAAACGAGGACATCTGTCAAAGTTATTCAAAATTCATAAACAATGACAGAACCAACTTCGTATCTATATTGGCGAATAGCAAAAGCCAAAAGTGTACGTGAATGCTGAAAATAGTGTCAAGTTTTATTTATTGTGATTTGTTTTATGATACAATTCGTAATAAAACCCGTGCGTCGCTATTACTGCGTAAGTTATAATATATAGATAAAGAATTATAAGGTCATTATATAAGTCTGTTGTGAAAGTAAAATTTGACATCCATGTATCTGAATGTTTGATTACTTTTACTTTTCGTTCGGTAAAATTGATGCTAGCTAAAACATCTGAAGTAATGTTATTGATTTATTTCTATAACTTGCCAATTCGTGCATATTCTGTTTAACTAATATTTACAAACCACTTTAAATTCATTATTTACTATGTAAAACTTGATGAGGTCAATGTCGAATTATGGTCGATTGAAAAACACCACGGTCCAATAATTGAAATTTTTTAGCGCCTGCTCAAACTCTTGGCAACATTTATACACCATGCCCTCCAACACAAATCAAGTTTGTTGTACAGTACGTTGTTCGAAGTTTGGTATTTATTTTGATTTCAGGTCCCAATAAAATGTGGATTAATTAATGTCACTATTAAGTAAGGAACATTAAAAGGTAAATAAATTCAATTGCACTAGAGCTATGAGTAATGCTGGTGGACCACACATAATGAATAATCTACCTCCAGGTGTTAATCCGGAAAATAACTTATTACCTGGAGGACCAATAATTAACCCGACAATGAACAGAAATAGAAACAACAATCAAAACCCTTTGTTCAACGTAAGGGAGAGGCTATTTCATGCTTTATTCTTTAAGTTCGCAATAGCATATGCGAGAACTTTCCCTAGGCCGGTGCGTAGATTTTTTGAGTTCCTAGTACTACTGAAAGCACTTGTTGCTTTCTTTGTTCTTGCTTATATACACATAGTATTTTCGAGAACACCAACAACATGCCTTAATCATGTAAAAGACTCTTGGCCGAGAGATGGCATTTTGAGAGTAGAAATTCTTCGGAATCCATCACAGGATTATACTATTGAACAAAGCTATGCTAAGGAGCGTAAGCTCAAAAAGGATAAGGACGAACTCAATACAATGATGAGCATGTTGACTACTGAAGGGTAAGTTACCTTTTGTTTATTGTAATAATATCATTTATTGAAGCCAGAAGGATTTTTTAAGCCACATGTTATTAATGTTATCTGCTAAAAATACAATGAATAGTAATCATTATCACTATAGTTATTGAATTATGCTTAACCCTAGGACATCCTGCCTGATTCTCTGAAAGAATTGTAAGGCTAGATCAGGTCATATTATATTTGTAAAAGGAAGCTCTTGTATTTTTAATCTTAATACATTGCTGTAAATTGATGTTTTCTAGGTTTATTAACATAGAATCGTCAACAAATGATGAGTCTGATGATGAATATATTCGTGATGGCACAGACTATGGTAATATTACGAGAGTACATGAAGAGGGTGAAGATTTAGGACTAACACAGGTGCTAGAAACAGGCCTGTATACAAAATCAAACGATTATGAGGCGATAGACTTAAACACCACTATTATACCAGGAGAGGAAGTAGAACCTACATCCTCAATATGGGAAGGAATTATGGGTCTTGTTGAAGATATAGATAGAGAATCAAAACTAGTTGATGTAAGTGACTCCTAATTTTCTCTCTTTATTAATCTTAGTTTTTATTGAATTGGGTATTATGAAAATTTAGTTGAAAAGAGCACATAATTCAGATTCACTAAATTTAAAAAAATGGGTCATTTGTTGTATGTCCTATGTAGGAAAATATGGAGTTCACATGTGGTCTTTTGTTTCATTTGAATTTTTCTTATCTTACCAGTTTTATATATGGTTTGAACTATATCTTGAATTGTTAGTTATTTTTACTAATGTTCTTAAAAGCCTAATTTGCAATCATGTTATCTGTAGACACTATGTTACCTGCTTTAAATTAAGCATATGACCTTATATCGTCGACCATAGGTCGACAATATACGGTCATTTTCTTAATTATAAGTGTTCTTTATATTACCATTACTTGTTTTAACACACTTACTATAGATCCTATAGGTACAGCCTGAAAGCTATGAAGCAGTTAGTAATGTTTTTGCTTATTTTTGCAATTACAGATTTAAAAAAAATATGACATAATTCATACAAAAAAGTCAATAACTTTTAACTTAATGCAAACTCAATTTGTTGTTTTATATTATTCAACAGCAAATATTCTTCTACAAATCGTATAAATTTTTTAAAGCAAATTCAACAATGTATAATTTTTGTTTTGTTTAAAATAATACATACGCTATCATTCTTAAAATTTTACTTTGTAATGATGACTTAAGAGTTTACTTAAAGCAAAGATAATATGCACTATTCAATGCTTAAAGGTTTTAGATCATTATATTAACTTTGCATAGAAATTATACTAAGAATATGCTTGTCAGTGCTATTTATAACAACATATGACACAGTTAAGAATAATAGTAAAGACTATTTCATTCTTATCTCTAGCAAAAGGTGAATAAATCACTGTAATATTGTGTTTATAGTGATATAGATTATCATAAAGCTTATATTGAAAAGTACTACAAATACTGTCTTTAATTTCCGCGGGTAGTAAACATTTGAAAAGATTTTACTACAAATCACAAACATACTTTAAATTAAGAGATGTAATGGTAAATCATATGTTTTCAGGAATCCCTTGATGAGGCAGCATCTAATGATTCATCAAAAGGTAATAATTCTCATTTTTATATATCATTGTTTTTCGGTCTGTTCGGCTGACAGGCGAGAAGAGGTTCTCAACGTCACCATCACATCACGGCATCATCAGATGTTAGCTCCTCGATTGCTAGAAGAATTATTAGATCTTCTCGTTCACTTTGGCCCAACAACTCGAAAAACAATGATATGCTGAACGATGGCCGTGAAAGCCTTACACAATTTAAATATCCTCTTTATTCTGCTTATTGATGCATGCAAGATAAATGTTTTCTCTGTATACTGGAATATCAATAAAAATACTTTGTTGAAAAATTACCGAATAAAACCAATATGGTTTTGGTCTGGCCTATAGAGTCTTATTAATGTGTATGTAATAGGCTTATAAAAGCTTAAGTGATATAATCACTGGCTTTGGCAACTGATCTCTTCAACAAGAAAGTGTGGCTGCGTTATGTGTGACTACATATTTGTTGGATTTAATTTTCTTTTTTTATGAAAGAGAAGGACTGAGAGGGACTTGGTAGGTGAAATACTCCATCCAGCCTTTAGGATCTAAACAATTCTATTCTATTTGGAAATCCATAATGCGAAACGTTTAAACTTGAACGTATTTTTTATCTTTGTACGGTGGTTCGTGACCCGGACGGGCCGATATTCGATTCCGACATGTTTTAGAAAAATTATAAATTGATTATGAACGCAAAACGCTGATTATTAGCCATACATTTAATAGCACCAAGGTCTGTCAAATCCTTAAATATTTTACTGTTAATGAGTAATAAAATTAAATATGTACTATGTTCTAAATAATTCAAAGTGAACAAACTTTGTTGTTATTAATCTCACAGCCATTGATTGACCTTTCAATGTTGATATCCATTTCATTACTATAAAATTTACGCGATTTTTTTTTCAAATATAATTTTGGGCTTGGTCACTTATTTATTTGTTTAAAAAATTTAAGGTTTCTAACATGTTATTGCACTTGCTGGCATTGTATTAATACGGCAGGACTTGAATCTGCATCCACAGCCTTCCGTGCTATTGTTCTAACCAATTGGGCTTCCTTGTTCTATATTTATATGTTATATTTGCAGATATTATTGTTTTCAAAATTATTTTTAATGTGTTCATAATTAATTAATATGTTAAACTAAGTTGTTTACCTTTTAAGCCACTCTTGCCACTACTAAAGTAACGATTATTGTTTCAGATGAGGACTATATCCTTGAATACTCCCTGGAGTATGGCTTCCTACGTCTGTCACCCAGTGCTCGGTTACGTCTAAGAATTCCAGTGAAGATTGTTACTCTCGACCCCCAAAAAGATGAGTGTTTCGGCGACACATTCTCACGTTTCGTGTTGGATGAATTCCTGGGTTATGATGATCTTCTCATGGCTTCAATAAAGAGTCTCGCTGAACAGGAAGACAATAAGGGTTATTTAAGGAAAATTATTTTTAAATAAAATGTTTAATACTATTTATTAAATAAGATAAACCGCCGTACAGCTTTGAGCAGGTTCACGCGGAGAATATATCCTTAAACCTTAGTGTTTTATCCATGTGTACTACTTGAATAGAGCGGTCCTAAAATTTTCTAATCTGGGACCTACTATATTATTATATTGTATTAAGCTCAGAACCGCCCACCTGTAAGAAGAAACAGAATTATAATTTTATAATGAATTTAAGTTGAATATTTATCTGATGACCAAACCTGCAATTAGACTGTTTAAATCTACTTCATTTGATGTTTTTAGCTGCAATTAAATAAATTCCTAAACTCCAAAATTCGGGCTGTTATCGTTTCGTAGGAAATTCAGTTAAGTATATTTCAAAAATAGTTGTAATGTAATCTACAATTTAGTCTCTTGTTTATTATTTACCAGATCATATCTGCATAGCACAGGTTTGCCGCAGTGTGACGTGACGCGTCATAAAATGGATACAGGCTAATTAATTTTGATATCAACAATTCCAATCTTTCCAAGTGACGCATCCATATCTATGGTTTATATACAATCTGTCAGATGTATAGAATAACAATATTAAATGAAAATACTCAATACCAACTTTAAAAATGACATTCCCGTGGGGTAAATATTTGGGGTATATAAGTTGATCAGATCAGGTCCTGGTAGAATCAGCGGCTTCTTGTTCCACTTATCATTTGGGTATTTTACTATTCGCAGTGCATGCAACGGAAACTCTCATAGATTAATAATTTCCCTCGTTTTTTCCACTTTTCCCTTTGATTCTTCGTACCTATTGGTCGCAGCTTTATATTTAGTTAGTAACCTACAGCCTTGATAAATGCTCTAAGCAAAACATTTTTTTTTTCGAACCAGTTGGTTTGAGTCAGTTTTATATATGTTAGTATAGATTAAGTTTGGCCTTTTTTTGCACCTCTTTTAATGGTAATATGTATTTTGTAGAAATGTGATCACCGGTGAGCATTACCGCTTCGTGTCGATGCTGACTGCGCGTAGTTCATACATCGCCGCGTTCTTCATCATGCTCGTATTTGTAAGTATTGCTTTTTCACTTTGTACTTACTAGCACAATCATTCTCAGCGCTGTAACCCTGCACAGAATAAATGCGTGATGAAAACTTTCTTCTATTTCTAACTAGCAACCGCCCCGGCTTCGCTTGGGTGCAATGCTGATACTAAATACACTACAGAAAAAATTTGAAAGTTGTATATAAAACCTTCCTCTTGAATCACTCTGTCTATTGAAAAAAAATCATCATTAAAATCCGTTGCGTAGTTTTAAACAGTTTAAAGTTATTTATTGATGTCGTTGGCATATCCCAGTTTGTGTATCTCTTTCTGTTTTAAGCTCGTATCTTAAATTTATTTGTATAACGCTTATAGCTACTTACGCGGTTTTTTGTTTTCTTACAGCGCCATCTAGTGTCTATTACCAATATTATTAATATATACGCGTAGATATTGTTTGTATTTAGAATTTTCCGCGCCATCTTTAGAAAAGCCGGAAAATGTATCAGGAATATGTTTTCATTGTCGGTACTAAATAGAGCACAACCTGGCTAGAGTTCTTTCGCTCGTGGCTAGATGGCAATAATTATGATCAGATTTTTTTGTATATTAAAATTTTTGGCGCCATTTCATAATTTTACTTACCAAAAAAATAGCTAAAAGTTTGTTCAGACAAATGATTTAGTACAGTCTGCATTAGGCAAGATCAATTGATAGGTTTTGTGATACTAAATTTCATAGTTTCTCTGTAAGTGATTTTGTTGATCTCAAGAGAAATAAACGTCTTAAACCATACATTTTCGTATATAAGTTTTATTGGCAATATACAATGTAAATAAAGGTGTATTATTAATAAATTTAAATTATATTTTAAAAGTTATGAACTTTATAATTGTGTTTGTAAACGTTTACAAAAGAAGATAACTTTTTTTTTACACAACACTGTGTAAAAAAATCATAAAAAAATCTGATGATGTGATTGTTGCTTCTACAAAACAAAAGGCCATATTTTTACACCCGAATTATGTACCGGAGTTATAATCTCGGGGAAAGCATTCCGCGGGAAATGTTTATGATGACGTCGTGTGAATGTCGTGAAATATAGTGGTGTACGCTGTAAGAGGTTATGGCCGAGGGCATTATAGATCAATTAATAGGTAACGCGAGGCGGGTCCCTTTCGCGCCACTAAAATCAGCTCTCCCCGACTTACAGTTATTGCACTTTTACAGCCCTTTCAAACTTTATTACGGTTCCAAATTCCGCCTTTATAGTGTACCACTCGCCTTATGTGTGTCGAACAGAACTGTGTAGAGCGCGCCCTCGTAAAAATTGCGGTAATGTAGCCGCGATCGAAGTAAGTTTAACTTGAAACTGTAATGTATAAAACATTACTTTGTAGTGTATAAACCCTTTTTTATTCACTTCAAATCAATTCCTAGGAGAAACACGTATGTTGTTTATTTCTTATAATTTTATTTTTGGGAATCGTGCTGAATATTAAAATCAAAACATTTTTAACAGTAGAAACCGCTAAATATATGCGTTAACGCCCGACGTTTCGGATGCTTGAAGCGTCCATAGTTGCTGCAAATCATAAAATAAATAAAAAATAAGCTAATTAATACATTTTGCGTTTAAACCGTTAAATAAGTTTTATTTGAATTACTCTTAATACAATTCTGACAAAACTTAAATCTAAATGCTTCTTATTTTGTGCTTTCGAATTTGTTTTTTCCAAACTTCCTTTTATTCTTTATAATTTTATCTACGACGTCGGTCGCGTCCCGTTGTTTTTGCAAGTTAATCTTGATCCGTTTTACCCTAGCCGAGGAAGGCTATATGCTCGATAAATATGACAAACACAAATAATTCAATTCTTACCAGTAGTTCCTGAGATTACCGCGTTCAAACAAACACAATCTTCAGCTATATATATCAGTATATATTTCAAATATATAAATGAAATATAATTTTCTTATAATTATCGGTAAGTGCATAGTAAAAAAAAGGATATAAGTGATTCAATTAATGTCTAAGAGTTTTAACACTAGCGATGTACAGTGAAACCGGCCTAAACCTATTTGCGTCGAAATTCAGCCGAGCCGGATACCCGCACTAATCTCATATACAACTGTCGCGGTGCACAGAAATTGTATTAATCAATTGTCAAACGTTGTCACCGTATCTCTTGTTTGGCATATGCACCTGTCATGGCGTAAGCTCCAAGCAAATTGTCGAACGGCGAGGATTCGTGCGTTTGTCGTTCGACAAATATACCTATGGAGCCTTCGTATGGATTTTCTTATTTACTTATACATATGTGCAAAAATGTAAGGCTCTATGAACAAGTGACACTGTTATATTCACCATAACTTCGCTACTTCCACTGCGCGTTGGGGGTTTTGACGGTGATATCGTGGACAGATACTTTAGTTTAATTTTGTTTTAAAAAAATGTATTATATTTGTTGTATTACTTTTCTTATTTATTGTGAGGAGGGGTTAATATGTTTTTGCGAGCTAGTAGCACGTGAATAAATAAACTGAATTTTTAGTTGAACAATTAGAAAATGTTTCCCTTCCATTTCGCTGTTGGAAGGCGCTAGTTATGTATACTATCTATAGTTTACGCGAGTAGTACACATTTGAATAAAACTAGACTTGCAACGAATATTCGGTTACTATTCGGTATTCGGCCTATTCGGCTGCTTTTATTATATTCGGCCGAATACCGAATATCTACATATTATTCGGCCGAATAACGAATACCTAAATAATATATTTTGTCATAGAGAAATAATTGGTAAAATGAAAAATTAAAATCGATTGCTTACGTATATATTCATATTTTTGTTTCTGTTATAATCATATAAGTAGTCATTGGTACATAATTGGTGGAACCCTCACGAGGAAAAATATATACTCATGCTTGAGAAGATCCAAAAAGCCTTTCTGCGGTTTCTTTACAAACACCAATACGGTTTTTACCCCTACTTGTATCCTACCTTGTTTTTATTAGGACAGCTTGGCTTTAATTCTCTTGTAAGTCGCAGATCTCGTGGGCAATTAGTTGTAGCTTGTAAGTTGTTTCGAAACCAAATCGATGATACTTATTTGAGGGAAGCCTTCTGTCGACTGTTTGTACCGAACAACTATGGCCACGCTAGAAGACACGATCTCTTTGACGTCCCGAGAGGTCGCACCTCTGCTCGCGCGTTTTCGCCGATACCACGAATTTTAACCTCACTCAACGCTCTCCTCAAGTTAAGACCCAAATGTGATCTTTTCGCAGATCACTGGTCATCAATACTGAGAGAATTGTCTGATTTTTAAATTTTGTCCTAATGTAATTGATGCATACTCTATTGTTAAGTGTAATTCTATTGTGTACTTCTATCCAATTAATGTAAGTGGCTATCGCCGTTTTAATTGTCTTTATAATAAATAAATAAATAAAATAAATAAATAAATAATACTATAATAGTAGTAATTGGTACATAATAATAACGAGTACGTTAGAACAAAACAAAGGAGCGCGAAACAATCACGTCTGTACAAGTTTTTGGAGCAAAAATCCAGCCGAATACTTTTGCCTAATATTCGGCTATTCGGTCAGGGGTCTCGCCGAATATTCGGTATTCGGTATACTGCCGAATATACTATTCGTTGCAAGTCTAAATAAAACACTTTAACGGTTTACTGCAAAGCATCCGAAACGTCGGGCCGAAATTAAAAATCATTTTCAAATAAGTTTAACTAATATATCACGTTTTAAACTGTTAAAGTGTTTTATTTAAATAGTTATGTATATTCAACATATTTTTTCATATTTTTAACTAGCCCCTAAAATGTAACAAAAGGTATGGTACAAACGGTACCTATATAAATGTATTTTTTTGTCACATCATCAATGCATTTTAGTGTTCGTTTAGTAACAGTTAGTATGACTATAGTCGTATTATAATGTGTGAGTCCATAGAATTAAAATAAGTGTGAGACACAGTAAGTCACCCAACAGCATAGAACTCTGAGGTTGTGGCTTTGAGTCCAGCCTGGGCAATTTTAATTTCAATTTAAAATAGATTTGACATTCGTCAACAGAGCATTTAAAACATCATTAATGAAAACGAAAATGCATCCCAAATGAATTAATACTAATCGCCTATTAATTTGATTGCATGGAAATTTAAATTTTGAGCGCTTGTGCCACGTTTTAGTCTCGAGGCTATGTTACCTAATAACGGAATTAGTATAATCTCGTTTTGTAGTCGCGGTTCTGTGTAATGACGTCCACGTAACTCTCTCATTAATAACACATTTTCATTATTGTATTATTATTTTAGTTGATGAAATCAAAACTAATTTTGCTAGTTTATTTCTGATGTTTGAAAGCCTAACGTTTCCCACAATAGAGGCACATCAGGTTTGCTGGAGATTTAAACCCTGTTGCTTTCGTTTTAACACAATGCAACAGTATTTTTATATAGTATATACCTAGCTTTTTATTATTATTTTGAATTCGATGCGTTTAAAACTGTTTTAAACGGCCCTGTGAATGCCTCAAGTGATTATTATATTATTTTATAAATTAAACAGAAATATACGCTCAGGCGTCGTCATATATTAAATCAATTAATTATAGACAACAATAGTTACCATGACAAATTAAAATCAACAATTTCAGACAAAAACCAAAAAAAGGGTGTGCGTTCAGAATTATTCCTACTTTTCTTAAAGAAGTATGATGGTTAAAAAGTGTTCTTTTTAATTAAATTACAAATATTTGAATAAAATAAGAGTCAATTGGGGAGACAACAGTGATTTGCTTTTAATTTGTTACAGTCGGGGAGTTTTAGAAGCCTGAGTAATTGTAAATAAATAGATTCGGTCAATGAAACACATAGTGCCCCATGCCCCATGTAAGAATACTTGATACGTATCTAATAATTTGTAACACCAATCTATAAGGAATGAGAAAAACACGTGTGTAACGAATTCGGCGCAACACGAACGCTTCGAAAACAAAAGTTCCCAAGATTGATCGACGTAGTGAGACGAGAACTAACTTTATTAATAGCATTGCCCTTTTCGAGTATAATTTTTATATTTTTAAGGTTAGTGACGGTCGTGCTTCTGTATTTATAACATTTACGAGTGTGGATCGAGTTTTCAAAATGAATTTTAGTTTAAATAAAAAACTTTAACGGTTTAAAACGCGATATATTAGTTAAACTTGTTTGGAAATGATATATACCCAAATTATCATTTCCAAATAAGTTTAACTAATATATCGCGTTTTAAACCGTTAAAGTGTTTTATTTAAATGTGTACTACTCGCGTAAACTATAGACAGTATTGAATTTTAGTTGCTGTTATTTCATTGTGCTACACTTTAATTGATTAGTGTTAAGCAAGCAAATTGGGCTTTGTTTTTGGTCAGGATTCAGTGTGTCGTTCCGTGCAGTTGCTGTAACCAATTGACCTACCGAGTCCTACACGTCATGCTCGAATTTCAACTCATTGATACATGCATCTCTCGCGCTATGTATATTTGTGTGTTTAAAGAAAACTTCTTATTGTATATATCGGTCAGTTGGTAAAGAGGGTAATGTTTTATGTATTTGTACGCCATGTATTCTAGGATTTTGGGTGTGCGGTTAATTTGTATTACTTCTTGCTAATGACGAGTGAATTCCGAGCATAGGAACAGCTTCCCCCAGGTAGGGACATCGCAGTCCTATCAATCTTACCGCCACATCATTTCCTCCCCCCCGCGATTGAATTTCATTAATGAAACGCTTAGTGCAGATTGAATCCATTTAAGCTGGAGTGCGATCGGCACCGCTTAATGTTCCCTCGTGCATTTACTTATACAGTCCGAGCTAAACTAATACTTTTAGTATTAACGCCGTATATGCTAAAATGGTCTAACACACACACACACAAACCGTTCCACACACGTATCAAAATATATTCGTAAGAAGCCTGATACTGGTGAATGAAGACACGTGTTTGTCTGTGACTCTTAAAGCATGTATTAACAAACAATGAAAATATTGTATTTGATAACTGATAAAAAATAGCGTAAATCTAAAATTGACAATAACATCTACAATTGTAATCATAAGCTTTCTGTTTGATAATAAATATTCGAAAGTGTAGCCATTCTTTGTCGTTTGCTGCGTTTTGTTACTACCGGACACGTGCCTACCGATATATGTTTTTGCGTTATTCAAAGCCATATAAATTTATACAATAAAAAAAAATATATGTTAGATAATCTGTGCAATGTCGATACATTGATTTAATGTTGAGAGGAGTTGAGACTCTTTTTGTCTTATCTTGGTAGTATTTACGTTTTTGTTTTCACGTTCTCTTGCATACGGATCGTTGTAGAAAGTATGTCGCAATATATATAAAGACAGCTTGATCATTTAATTAAATCTCGGCCTTTTATTTGAAATACAATGTGAAATATTTATTTGATACATGTTATCTATCACTTGTGTATATTTTTAATGTCAAAATTAACATATAATTTATTTTTATTTATGTAGTTAAGTGAGTACACTTATGAATGTCGTTAATGTAAGTTAATAGGAAACATTCCAAATTTAAATTGACTTAAACCTTGTTTCAGACTGTGTCTATATCGATGCTGCTTCGCTACGCTCACCATCAAATATTCGTTTTCATTGGTAAGTAAGAAATATTTCGTTACCCCTAAAAATATATTCCGAATGAAATAAAACCCTTTTAAAGGTTTTAAACGAGAAAAGTACAAGGTGAACTTAAACATTATTCGTAAATAAGTTTGACCTACCTATATAATATGTAACGTTTTAAACCATTCACAGTGTATTATTTAAATGAGTTCTACTCGTGTAAACTACAGACAGTACTTATGTATTCAATATGTTTTGTTTTCTGTTGGCATTTTACATACCAGTCGTAGTGCCCCACTCAGGAATGGGTTTTTTGTGTGGGGCACTGTTCACAATGCGTGTGTGGTACACGTTGAACTATTTCAACTCAGGTTGAAACGCGACAAAATCTGTTAATAAAATTTAACTACACAAAAGTTTTTCTTATTTAATATAATCAATTTGTAAATAAAAGAAAAAGAAAATGAGCAGTTGCGGTATAAAAGATCAACAATGACGGCCGCGTATTTAAAAAGTAACCAGCGTTATAAAACCCTTCCACGAGCCTACAGTTACCCCAGCCGAAATGCGTCGAGAAATACGAGATTTTCGATTTTTAAATTTGGATAAAAGACATGCGAAGTTGTTTTTCCCCGGTTGTCGGAATGAGTTCTGTAAAAAAATTCCTCGAGCTGTGAGCCGGCTCAACGGCAATCTCTTTGTAATAACAATAATTGCGAACAGCGCCCGCGGCAAGACCCACCCACCGCCTCCTGAAAAAAAAATAAAAAATAAAAATATTACTGTCGGATTTACCTAGCGCTCGCTCTTTGATCCGTCGACAATTAGCCAGATGGAGATAATTTGTTTCTTTCCCTATTTGCCGCCACTTGGCTTACGGCTTCATTCGATGATTGTTTTCCGTTTCAATCTTTTTGTAAAATGAAGAAATCCAATCGTTTCGTTCAATCGAACGTGGCGTTCTATTATAGGTAATTTTTTATTGATATTTTAAAAGGCTTACTTTCAAAAAAAAAAACTAAAATATTAAAAAAAAGAATGCTAGCTACTTTTAATACTATTAACTAGCTATACCCGCGACTTCGTTCGAGCGTAATATATATTATTTATTATTACAAACAAGTTCAGTTTTTTAAATAATAGTTCCTACTTCTTCTTCGTTCTTGCGACTTAATCTTAAAAGATATATATTGTCGCGGACATTTTTGCCCACATTTCCTAATGTTTCTTTAGACTTCTTGGTTTCAGCGTTAATTTATATATTTATTTATATTATTCATTTATTTCACGCTGGTATACCTAACCAAACAGATACTATGCAATTTAAAACTATAGAGTGTACCGGGCGGCCTTATCGCTATAAGCGATCTCTTCTAGGCAACCCGAGTAGAGAGAAACTTAACGATTAATTAAAAACCTATACAGTGTGCAAGAAGTGCGAAACTTACTAATTACTTAATTTTACTTAAACTAAACATAGAGCTTAAAACTTTTCTCGATAAATAGCCTATCCAACAAAAAGTATTTTGCAATTTGAACAAGTAGTTCCTGGGAGTAGCGCGTTTAAACCAACTCTTCAGCGTCATAATATTACTATAGAAGGGGGTTTGTTTTGCCCTTTGATAATCTACATCTTAAAGAACGTTTACAAACCTATTATTCCCCACTTCTTTCATTGAATCCCGTATTGGAGCATGAATATAGGCTTACGAATCGCGGACAACTAATTCTTGAAAATGATAATAAAATTTTCCACTCCCTTACCCTGCAGGTATATTTTTCAATAACAAGAGATCCCAGGACGTGTCGCCATAGAGACCAACTGGATCTCATTGAACAGATTTACCCTCATCCGATATTGTGAGTTTGAATAGTTTATTCTACAAACTCGGAGAGCTACTTAGATAGAGATCTCCTTTGAGCGCTCTCCAGTATTTTCCTCTTGCGAGAATTCATTGGCAAATCTTTCGTGGCTTAAAAATGAATGTTTCGTGTACGCCGAGTTTTTTGTCATTTTTATTCGTGCGGTTTCCGAATAATAATCTTGTTCATATTATGGTAGATGAGGACAGACAAGCATCACTTGATGGTAGGTGAGATACCCCAGCCATATACCTAAACAAGATGCGATGTCGACCTATTTTTGCTTTGGATATTCAGTAAACCAAAGACTGAAACTGAAACGCGATGAAACATTACGTTTTCAATTGTGGATGGGGGTTTGTGACTCGGACGGAATTTTGAGGTTCCTACCGCCCATTTAATGTCCAGATTTCCAGACGAAGTCCAACATGTGTTAGAAAAATTATAAATTGATTAAAAGAATGTTTTGTTGAATGTTGGACCCGGTAGAGATTGACTACCGGGTCCAACATTCAACAACCCACGACCCATCGAATATTAGCTGAAGCTATCATTATACCTACGTACCATGCCATTTTGTACTCTTAGATTTTAACGCATTTTTTATTATTATTATAAAATTTTCTTTAAATCATTTATCACTTATTCAATTCTAAATACATAGATATAAAGATTCATAGTTGTCTAATAAATATTGGTACTGTCATAGTTGCTTATGTCAGATATAATTACGCATAACTTTTCGTTATATATATGAACTTAATAAAATGTTGGTCGCAGTTAATTAAATAAATACAAGCCCCTCAATGGTATCGCGCGATAATGTTGTCGATACCTGTTAATCCACGTCTAGTTATTTTCTAACTTTTTAAAGTCACGCTGTAAAATTATCATCATCGGTAGAGCGTCGATGATCGATGATGTGCAAATTGATGTGCAGTCGACGATGTGAACGCGGCCGTTTAATGAGTAATGACATCGCGAGTTAGCGCAGTCAGTCGATCGGCAAACAACTAGCAATGCGATCATACGGAAACTCCACCTGCAAAATGCTTAACTGTCCTATTAGCGGTGTGCTATAATAATTATTGAAAAACTTTAACAAGAATTTATTGTTTATTTAGTAGTATATATTTAAATAAAACACTGTAACGGTTTAAACGCGATAAATATTAGTTAAACTTATTTGCTTCGACTCGACTTCGACTGTAACGACTCGGTCAGTTTCACCAAGTACCAACGACGACGGAACAGATGGCGCTAGCGTAACTGTTTTTACTTAGACATTAGAGGCACCCTCCATCTTTAGTCTCCGAAGTTAAAATAATTTCCAAATAAGTTTAACGAATATTATTATTTTTATTATTTCGACATTTTAAAGGTTGTAAACCTTCTTAACAAATCTGAAATGTAAATCCGCGTTGCGGTATCAGTTTGTCGACTTCCAAATCTTCAAAGTCAAAATAGGTAGACGACATCTTTGGATTTTATCTTTCCATCAAGTATACTCTATCGTGTGTCTCTGTCATGTTTTTGTCTCTCAGAAAAAACATAATATCTGCCACCTATTGTGTATTTTAAAACTACGCACCTGTTTAATAGGATAATAAGGTAGGTGGGTAGTTTCATTTAAGGAAGCAAACAGATATTTTAAAGTGTTGTGTGGTTTTTTTTATAAACTTTAAAATAACTATTCCCCGTAGTCGACGCTAATAAAGTCAATATCAATCGATAAAAAAAACATCTGAAATACGTTAGAGCTTCTTTGGAAATCTATATGTTAAATGGATGGTAGGAATATCGAAATTCCATCCAGATCACGAACCATGTCCACGAATAAAAAGTTGTCAAGTTTAATCGCGTTTTGGTTTCAGTCTGTGGATATCCGAATATCCAAAGCCAAAATATATTGCTGGAGTATTTCACCTACCGTCAAGTGAACCCCATGGCTTGTCTGTTCTACCCTGTCATAAAAAAACTGTGCAGCTGAATTTTGTTGTACCGTACATGAGGTATGTACGGTTGCACGGTCCCTGTTAGGGTAAAAATATTTAATGTGAGGTAAAAATACAATCATTTTTCCCCTCGCATACGCTTGCAAATGTTAAAACAACAATTTCACAAAAGGTGAAAAATATTAGTAAACGTTTAAGCGCGCTCAGTGTTGCCACCTGCTACAATTCTCCCACGTTAGCCGATTACCCATTGTCCGCGATCGCATTGAATCCGCAAAGGAAACGGACCCACCAGCCCCTGTAATCTGTACATGTCCGACTATTGTGCCTCTCGCGCGTTTAGCATCTCTTTGATTTTATTTTTCTTACAGCACCCACATAAGCTCCGTTCGGATTTAAAGATTTCCCCATAGACACATCGAAAACGTATTAGAGTTTTATATTACATTTAAATAAAACACTTTAACGGTTTAAAACGCGATATATATTAGTTAAAATTATTTTAACTACGGGCCCGACTTCAAATAAGTTTAAATAATATATATCGCGTTTTAAAACCGTTAAAGTGTTTTATTTAAATGTGTGCTACTCGCGTAAAGTGCATAGAGTATAATTCTACGAGGAGAGTTTAAAATGAAACTTGGTGATTAAAGGAGTGTTGGCGAGTTTCTTGCTAATTCTCGTTCGTTCTACGCTCTTCATTTGAGAAGTGGTAGCAAATGTAACTTGACAGTCTTTAGGTCTTAACTGGTTCGTTTGTTGGTGACGTTCATATAGATTTTGACTTTTGTGTATACACACAAACTATAGTTTGCGCGTTTTTTTAGCGCGAAGCAACGTACCAGACGTAGTGTCACAGTAAGCAACTAATATATAGTATAATTCGCATTCAAAACCGTGTTTTCTAACGATTAGAATTGACTGTAGCCAGAGAAGACAGTTACCCTTGTAAATAAATAAAAACGACTCGGACGGGACTTGACCGGTATAATAGCTTTTCGTAATATTGCTATTATTTTATATTCTTGCAAAAAAGCGTAGGTCCGAAAATTTTTATATTAACTACATATTTTTACGGTGTGCTGTTATGTTATAGCACCGTGAACTATAGTGTATATTGTCAATAGATACGACTATCTATGCTATATATGAAAACACGGTTCCCGTATCGAGTAATGTGTGTAATAATATTAATTAGGTTTCAGAATTCAACAT